TAGGGAATAAAGGGTCTTCTACCAAGGAAACACACCAGTTTAAACCAATTAAACTGGCAAGGATTTTTGCTAAGAGCAAGCACTCCAAAACCTAGGCGAAAGCTGAGTTTTTGGAGCACGTTAGGCTAACGTGCATCTATGCGTGCAGAGGAGAAGTGACTAGCATGCTTGTTCAGTTTGGCTCCCTCAGAAAAAAGCTGTCTCCCTGGAAGCCTTCCTGCAGGGAGCGGGATGGTGCCGGGCTGCCTCTCCTGGACACCAGTCCATCACACAGTGGGGGCTTGAAGTGAAAGATTAGGAAATACACCCAGAGTTAAGAAAGAAGTAAAGTGTAAAGAATGGTGTTTGGAAACTTCTGGTGAGCTTCAGATGACAGGCAGCTAAAGCATCACAGAATTGTAGAATCATGAAGGTTGGAAAAGACCTCTAAGATCATCAAGTCCAAGTGTCAACCCAACACCACCATGCCTACTAAACCATATCCTGAAGTGCCACCTCTACGCATTTTTTGAATACCTCCAGGGATGGTGACTCCAACCATTCCCTTGGGCAGCCTGTTCCAGTGCCTGACCACTCTTTCACTAAAGAAATTTTTCCTAAATATCTGATCTAAACCTCTCCTGATGCAACTGGAGGCCATTGCCTCTTGTCCTATCGCTTCTTACTTTCTTTATTAGAAAGACATCCGTGCTGTCTTTCTTCTCTGACTGCTGTAGTTTGCAGTACACATTTCATCTCTCTCTATCCCGATTGTCGAGCTCCAGCAGCCAGCCAGCCTTCCTCACCTGCCCCTTCACAGTCCTCTGTTCCCGTCAAGCTCCAGCAGCGCATTCCCCCACCAAGCTCCTCCTGAAGCCCCTGACAGCTGCGATCTCCCTCCTAGGCTTCGGTCTGCATCAGGGCTATCTCTGCCGTAGCAAGAGAGAGGCACCAGCGTGGCTGATGTCACTGCAGTAGAAAAATTGGTTGTATTTTGGGGTTCTTAACGCACACAACCCCACCAACCAACCCCCCTTTAATCCACTGTCTTCGTTAACAAATGCCTGGTCTCTGATAGATTTTGATGCTCGGGCTAGTGGGTGTGTAGATTCCAGTTTGAATTGGGTCTAGAGGCAACTTCATGGTAGGAAATTATGTCTGGGGACTGTGTTGGATGCTATTTGATGCTAACTTCATTTGAAATAAATAGCTGATTTTGTGATTTTGTTCCCTGTTTTGAGCTAGACTGAAAGCCTGCAGTTCAGTGGAAGGGACACGAAGGGGAGTATTCATCAAAGATCACCCTGGGTTATCGTGCCAGGGAGGGATAGGGGCCGCTCAGGTTAGAAGCTCTGCATCTCTGCTCGGGTTAGAACCTCTGAAGTCCGGTTCCTGCGCTGAGCCCTTCCCCCGGGGAACCCCCTCCTTCCCCAGGCGTTGCAGGCAGGCCAGCCCCTCTGCACGGAATTTAGCTTCTGTGAACACCCGCGTCCGTGTGCCAGCAGGAACTGTAGCAGGGCCGTGTCACGCAGGTTTGGAGGGCTGTGCACAGCAGGTACGGAAACGGCAGAGGAGGCAACAAGGCAGCACCTCAGCTGAGAGGAATGGGTTTTTCTATTTTTCCCCAAGAATAATTGGATTTATCTGCTGACACAAATCTGAATGAGGAGGCACATCTGAAATGTATTGGCTTATATATTATGCATTCTATATGCCAAATTAGATGATACAGTGTGATTTTGTAATTGATTTTAGGAAGGCAAATGATAAAGCCCTTTAAAAAGGAATCTGTAGTAATACAGTGGGAATGAAACTTGCTGTTGCAAATGCTACTAAATAATGGCGACCTGCTTATTTTATCAAAAAAGCTTTATTTCTATTACACTTTATATGTAGTGTACTACTAAGTAACAATAAGTAAAAATAGAAAAAAAGTCATGCTGCTTTCTTCGAAGTCTGGCCGTTCCTTTACTCTTGCTGCTTGACATGAATAGGAGGGGAGCAGGGTCGTTCTGACTGAGGGAGGACGCGGCCTTGCCCAGCGCAGCCCTACAGGCGCCAGCTGCAGCAGGGTAAATGGCGTTAGTAATCGTCGTAGTTGACACCGGCTCCGTGCCTGAAGGCGTGTGGATTTCGCGGTCCAATTGGCGAATCCTCATCGTAGTGGTGTTGGTAGTATCCACCGTAGTACTCGTTACGGGCACGCCCTAAGCTGGTCCAGTAGGACATGTCGTCTTCAAATTTCTGCCGGAATAAAAAGACAAGACCTGCTTTCCGAGCCTGAAGCTTTACAACAAAGAGAGTGAAACAGAAGCGGTGCAAGAGGTTCCTTTGGTCTCTTGCAGAAATTCAGATCCTTTGTGTATTTGTCCAAACGGTATCTTTAGATCCTAAAGGGTGTTGTGACTTGCACCTACCTTCTCGGTGGGATGATCAGGGCCCCGAGTGCAGGAATTGCCCCAGCTGGGACCCCCCTTCCCCCTACGCCTTCTGCCCGCTGTTAAGTGCTCAAACATGCGCTTGAGCACCTTTACTATTGCAATTACCTTCTCAGGGGTGGGCTATAAAAACATTTCAGCGTCTTGTACTTAAAAATCTAAAGGTTCGGTTCTCCGCTGCCCTGGTGTCCCTGAGTCAGAGTGGGTGCAACAGCCTTTTGCTTTATGCCCGTGATCTTTCATTCCCATTTTGCATGGGTAAAAATGAACGTACAGCACAGCCTTCTAGCTATGGAAATGCGGTAAGCACTTCAATTCTGCTCACAACAGCAGAGGAAAAAGTGTGCAAGGATATCAAATACTTGCCAAGTCAATGCCTTTCTGTCTGAATGACTCTTTGGAAATATTTTTGGCTGAGATTTGAAAAAAAAAAAAAAAAGTTTTGCAAAATACACAATGGGTAAGTATGGCCCAAGTCCTCTGCTGGAACAAACAGTTATTTCATTGTTAAAACTGTGTCTTAATACTCAAGAAAACCTACTAAGTGGATTCATTGTATCCCACAACAGGGCTCATTTCAGTTTTTGAAATGCACGCGGGAACTCAGAGGAGAGTTCATCTTATCTGCATGGCTTGTCCTCCTTACCTCCTCGTGTTTGCCCCCAGGCTGCAGCTTCTGATGCATAAACCCATTTTTCCTATTTTTCCTACTGCTGCTGGGGGGAGGGAGAGGGATATAGCCATGCTGTTAAAAAGTCATTTTTATTTGCATAATTTCCAGGAGCAACAAAAAAATATATCCTTCATTCTTTCAGTCCAAGCACAGGATTGTTTTTTTAACTTGTTCCAGCTTTGAAAATGAGCACATTCATCTTCGAAGCAATCCACGTAGCGTAAAGGTCCAAAACGTACTCCAGCTGCCCTGTGCCAATGCAAGCCCATTAAACGTATTCAGGCAGCTGACACAAGCCAAGAATTCAACATCTATAAGTATTTTTACCTCTTATTAATGTAGAAATTATTCTGCATGTGGGACTATAACTAAATGCACATTTTCCGCCCTATTTCAGCATCCATTTAGTAGAGCTTTGTGCGGAGCAGGGAACTCTTGATTCCACTCCAGTGTTTTTGCAAATTAACTGTTTTCAAAAAAAGATGTATCTTTTTCATTCGAAGGGACGTTGGCTGCACGCTGTCCAATGATTCTCCTTTCACGTCTAGAGTCGAGGCAGAGCTGCCGGTGCTCGCGATGGCCGGGCGCTGCCCGCACCGGGGAGGCACCGCGCGCATTAGGTGCGTGACGTCGGTGCAGTTTCACTGGGGAATGCCAATAGCAGTCAGCTTGGTGTGGGTTTCTCAGCGTGTTAAAAGGCAAATTGATCGGGTTGAGGCTGCCAAATTAATTTCCTGAAATACGCTTGATTGCTTTGGGTCTGGCCGTCTATTTCTCAAAGCAAACTTTGTCTGGCTGCAGTTTATTAAGCTTCAGTTCAGTAGCAGGCAAGAGCTCCACGCAAGATTTTAATGTCATTTTTCTCTCTTAATAAAATAATGCAGGAATCACTAATAAATACAGAGCTTATATTTCTGTGCAGTATTTGCTACTTTAAAAAAAGAAATCACAGTGTCTGCGAACAGGAAGAGGGCAGCTCCTCTCTGGGTGGCCCCATGGCTGCGCATCCCCGCTGCCAGCCG